TAATGCATTTATTTAACAAATAATAATTACAGGTGGAAATTTTTTGAAAACATCATTATTAATTAATTTTAGATTTTAGGAATTAAAATTTGCTGCGATTTATTTTCTTTCTTTCTCTCTCTCTCTCTCTCTCTCTCTCTTCTTTGCAACCATACAAATTGGAAGCATTTAGAAAGAAAGTGAGGAAGAATTCATTTTCCTATAAAATAAACTTGCAGATTGAAGTTTCATTTATATAATATTCTTCTTGTCGATTATTCAAATATTATGGAAATTTCATGAAAGAAAATAATAAACAGCTTTTCTTTTGGTGACAGTCTATCCTAATCTATCTCTTCCTTTCACTCCCTCTCCCCACCATCGAATAAACTATTTACATTATTAGCCTATCGATAAGCTCTATTTTTTAACATCATCCTTATTTCATTAATTATCAGTTTCATTTTCAAATTAACATATCAAAATTAAACAAATCATGAATACATTAAATCACTGTAAAGAGAATATACGGTACACTTTGTATTCAATATATTATTTTTACAATATTATTCTGCTGTCGAAATACGATAATTCTGTTATTTTTACAAGAGATATTAATATTACACTTACAGTAATGATTAGAATTACTATCAAAAATGTGGAATATTTTAATGAAACTATTCATTAATACTATAACAATAATGTTAATTAAAATGTTAATAAAGTTTCATTTCAATTTCAATTAACTGTCATTTGGAATTGATATAATTAAAAGGTAAAAATAAAAATAAATTGTAAAAGCTTTTAAAAAGAAAATATCGTGGCAGCATGTTGACAACCTGAGCACAGATACACACACACACACACATACACACATATACATACACATACATATACATACGCACACGTACACATACGTATACATACACACATACACACCCACACACATACAAAACATATATGTATGTGTATGTGTGTTGTCAATATGCTGCACGAGAACATATTTTCACATAGGCGTTTCTAGTCCGTTTTTATACTGAATACTGCTCACCTTCAGTTTCTCTCATTGTTTCATTGACAGCCCATAAATGCATAAGATTTCACTGATAGTTACACACACACACACACACACACACACACACACACACACACACACACACACACACACACATTCATTCATACCCACACACCCACATACACCCACACATGCATACACAATATACATACCATAGGCTAATGTTATTAGTAGTAAGTGGGAAATTAATAGATATGCTATTAATAGATGTCCGATCAAATCTCACTTCATTTTCTCTCTCTCTCTCTCTCTTCTATCTATGCTATGGTGAAGTTTTGAGATTTATCGGTCTTTCCTTATATCTGTCTTTTATCTTTCTATCATATTAGATCACTGATCAGAGTTTTGAGGAATAAATCATTTCATTGACATTTCAACTTTATACTTTTTAAAAGTTCAAAATAAAGATTGTCTTTAGACAGAGAGAGTGGAAAGAGAGGAAAATTTTTGTTGAAATTTTCAATAATTATACTTTGAAGCAGGAGAAAACAATAATTTCCACTTATCAGCTAAGAAAATTCAGCAAGAAATTAAAGACATCGTTTTCATTTTAATCTATCCAAATAATCAGCCTATGGTTCAATGAAGAAATAATACATTTTTTGGTTGGCATACATAATAAATAAGTTATTATAGTTTATAGCTGCATTTGATAGTAGTGATAAAATGAGATTTCAATAAAGAAATAATACATTCCTTGGCTGGCATACATAATAAATGAGTTATCGTTTACAGCTGTATTGATTGTAGTGATAAAATGAGATTTCAATGAAGAAATAATACATTCCTTGGCTGTCATATATACTAAATAAGTTATTATCGTTTACAGCTGTATTGATTGTAGTGGTAAAATCAGATAATCAAATAGCTAAAAGTGACCAACGCGCCTATCATATTCTATTAACTAAATGCTATTAAAGGAATTAAATGATGTGAAAAGTAATAGCTGATAAATTTCTGAATCCTTTCGAATTTAAGTGAAATGAAAATTGCTTAATCTTTCGTTTATCCTATCCCAACATAATCATTTGAATAATTTATAAAATTCTGCTTATAGAAGGATGCATTTGATATTATTTAATTTAGCAATAGACCGATCGATGATTGGCTATTATTTATTATCCATTTTGGTTAGACCGATTAAAACGTATGCATGGAAGTATACTTTTACATATTTTTTAAATTTAAATTTATCTTATCAATTAATGTCATCCTTAAAAAGCAACATCCTTAATATTTAATTATTGAAAGTTTGGAAAATCTCGAAAGAATTTCACCTCATTCTTAAGCTAAGAATTTTGAAGTTCTGAAAGTTTTGAAGTAGAAATTTTCGAAATTGTTGTACGGTCATTGAATTGTTTACTTTTGAGAACTGATTAATAACATAGCCAGAACAGATAAATAAGCGACAGATGACAAAGAAGCCAAGAAGACGGACATATTTCGAAACTTCTGCTACATTATTCTCCTAGAGAAGTCTGATTAATATCAATAGTAATTTAAAATATCTCATTGGAATTATTCGAATATGCGATATAAATAAATTCCTCACTATGAAAACAAACTGTAAGATAATATGAAAAAAAACCGTTTGATCAGTTTAAAAACAAAAAAATGAAAGATATCGAAATATTGATTAATTAGACAGGAAATGAATTAATTCAAAGAATGAAATTCAATCAGAATATTTCAAATATTTGAAATAAAATTTTGATATTCTGAAAAACAATATTGCAAATTAAAAATGAATCAAAATATAATTCTGCTGATTGCATTGATATATTAAAACTTCTGATAACTTTAAACGATATAAAAGATTTCTGATAACTCTAAATGATATAAAAGATTTCTGATAACTCTAAATGATATAAAAGATTTCTGATAACTCTAAATGATATAAAAGTATGTAAAAATGTTTGTGAAATTTATTTTTCAAAAAGATTAATTCATTTATGTTCAATAATTTATGCTATCATAAATTAATTTCATCAATTTTTCATTTTACTAGCATTCTTGAAATTTTTCAAATGTTGTGAAATTCCAAATAAATTATGCAAACTATAAAATAATTTGCATAAAAATTACTCGACGTTAGACGACGACATATGTATGAATATTAAACATGTTTAAATACAAATAATATAAATCGACATATAATTAATTCAGATATAAATATATAAAGCTGAAATAATTTAACTAAAATCGATATCGAATATCATATTGTTCTTATAATACTTATAAAATAAAAAGAAAGTATTTCTTTTAAATAAAAGAGTTCGAAAATAATAAGTAATAAAATTTACTGCGACAAATTATACTAACTAATTCATTTTATTCAATGATTCATTTTAAATATTTCTAAAATTAAAGGAAGATAAATTTTATTGTTACATTAACAACAAACGATCACTTTATGCTTAGCAAAACAAAGCTTATCAAAGCAGGTTAAATTACAGGTTAACAATAAGTTAATTGTAACCATTCCTAAAATGTTGACATTATAATGATCATTGAATTTCAATCAATATTAAAGTTCTTCAGTTAATGAAACTTTAGAATTAGTAAGTTCATTTTGAATATAAAATTATAATTCAACAAATTTCCAAAGATTTATATTTTCAAACATACACACATACATACTTTCTTCAATATCAGTGATAAAATTTTATAATAATTTATCATTTAAAATAAAGAAAATTCTAAACAACAAAAAATATATATATTATAAATAAACTATATAACATTATATTTATAGTTATTCCTATTAATTCTAAAGTTTTGTCAACTGAAAAATTTTAATATTAATTGAAATGAATAATCATTAAAATGTTGACAAGTGATTGGTTTACATTGACAACGAACGATCATTTATTTTATGCTTGGCAGAACAAAGCTTAACAAAAAAATTTAAATCACAGATTAACAATCAAATTAAAACAGGGTAAATTGTTATGTAACGGAAGGATTACTGCTTAATTTATCAAAATTAAAAAGTAGTTGAAATCTGTTATACCTATTATGCATTCCACTAGAATTTTAATGAAACTTTTTATTCGAATAACATTTCAAAATTGCAGGTGTCTTTTATGATCTTTCATGAATCTTTTATGACTACTTGAAATCTTCTGAAAATTTCTTGAAAAAAATTTCCCACAATTAAAAATATTCCATAATTAGTAATTCAATTAATTTTACAGGAAAAGTGGAGTTGCAAAAAGTCAAGAGAATCAATCGATGAAGTGTTAATTTAACAAAATCCAATCTTTTTACCTGTATACCTATTTAGACTCTCAATCATCAATATCCAATATCTATCTCCCTTCTTATCCTTTTATCGTTTTATTCCCTTCTCACTCCAACTTCCTTCTTTTCAATCAGCATATTGCTCATTAAGTTTTAGCTAACACTTTATATGCAAGAACAACATCGAAAAGGAATTCCTATATTTTTATAGATGCCTATTCAGAAATATATTCAACTACCACAATAGAAAATTTCGCCACTCAAATGAATTCATTTGCTAACATCATGTTTTTTTCAAGTTTAATCAGAAAATTTACACCTAATCACGAAAGAAATATAGCTCAGAAATAACTATTTTCCTATTCCTAAAATAAAAAATTAAAATTAAAATTATCGTCTCTCAGTGAAAATTTTTGAAAAGTAACAGACATATCTAAAGATCGCAAAAAACTAGAAAAGCGAAGAAAGCCATGGCATAGATTGCATTTTCAAATAATTAAAGAAGACGTTAATGTTATTGTAAGTGATGTACAACACTATTATACAAATAATTCCTATGCGAATGATTCCCTTTTCACCGCTTCTTCAAACATTTCTAGAAATAAAAAAAAATAATTTATAATATCGTAGCAATAATTGTTCAATAACAAAATGATAAGCTGAACTGAGGAATTAAGAAAGAGCTGAAGCCATAAACGATAATTTACTCTTTCCCAAAAGCAGTCCTCCAAGCAATAACTTGCTTATCAAATCCACAAGTGAACAGATCATAGTTCGGATGATCGTCTACCCATGCAGCACAACAAACGATACGGCGATGACTCTGAAAATTAACGAGGAACAAATATAAAGAGCAGCAAGTATAACTATATTCACAAGCAAATGGTCGTTTGAACGATTTCCACGAGAATAATGGTGCAATGACTATAGAAGATTACAGCCAAAGAAAACAGGCTAGGAAAATGAGGAAGCTATGTGATGTATCTACGACACTTAAAACAAAGTGATTTTTTTCCTTACTCTCGTTCCATTTCCTCAATCATTTTTGTTCCAAACAAATATAGTTATGAAAATCTTAACAGATTGTATCGCTTTTCCCTCACAAAGATTCGATGCGAGCGATTACATCTCCCACATTTCTACTTTCTCTTTTTTGATGTACTCATTCACGCTGTGCTTCCACGTAAAAAGATTTTGGTTGAGATAACAAGAAATTCGCCATCACAACAAGTAAAAATATTAACACTACAAGTCCACTGAGTTACTAAAAAGGAAATTTCCCCACAAAATGATGCTATTAAGCATATGAATGCATTTCAACGAATGTATTACACATAAAAATAGAAAGTCTTTAAGCAAATCTTAAAAGCAGCATATTTGATATCCATAAATACTCTTTATTTCATCGAAATAATTAAATATAATTACAGCCTTACTTGTCCACTAGCACGAGGAAGTCTTGTTAATCGAACGGTATTCAAATCATACAATCGAATATTGCGATTATCTTGTGGGATGGCAACAACACTTCGTGATGAAATTGAAAGTCGATTAACTGCGCTATCCAAGCGAACAGTTACAATTGCGCTACGCATATTGCGCAAATCCCAGACCTACAATGTTTTGCAATTATAACTGGTTCTTGGAATTCCGTGAGAAATTCGTTGAATTTAGAATTCTACGTTAAAATTCCATGGAAGATCTCTTTTTAAGGGAAACTAACTTTGAATGATCGATCATCACTGCCCGAAACAAGTTTATCACCGGGAGAGAAAACAACCGACGTGACTGAGCTGTAGTGCAAATAGTATTAATTGCAGAAAAGATCATTATTTCATACAAAACATAAGAGCGACAGCGAAAAAAAACATACTCGTTATGTCCTTGAAAAACAGCAACTGATTGGATTGATTCCCGGAAGTCCCAAAGGCGAAAAGTGGAATCGCGGCTTGCAGTAACAATCAGTTTTTGCGATGGATGAGCATTACAGTAATTCAACTCGTCATCATGGCCTATAAAATATAATTTTTTTTTCTAATAAATCTTTTTCCCGTTCATTAAAATTGAAATTAATCCGTACTCAGCTATTACTCTATATACTCGCTTTCTATCAGTTCGTATTCTCCTAATCATTGCATAAGTTTTACAAAAAAAGCAGCAGAATTTTAAGTAGGACTAATAAAAAAGAACCGACCCGATAAAGTATTCACAATTTCCCCTCGTTCAGCATCATAAATATTAGCAGTTCTATCCCAGCTAGCTGTGATAAGTTGTTCGACACCACTGAACCACTCGACAGCCATAACTGCATTAGAATGACCCGTTAAACGTCGGAGCGGCTGCCGCACAATACTTAACGCATGGACTTCTCCATTACCTGAATATTTAAGAAAAAAAAAATAGATAATGGTACAGAAATGAAATATCAATTTAAATTTCAAATGAGTATTTACCTTGCATATCGTTCCCTCCATTCATTTGTTCCTTTTCAGTCAAATCATCATCCTCACTACTCATTGCAGGAAGCTGGGTATTGCCTAAAACATCCGTTTTATATAAAAATAGCCTACATATTAGCAAACACCAAAATTAGCAAGGATAAGTACTTAAAAAGAATTCAGATGGAGAAAGACGGCAAACAACTCGTAATTATAACAACGAATAGGTTGAAACATTAATAATCAATGTCAATGTTAATTTTTGAATGTTACTAACATTTGTGAAATGTTAGCATTTTAGCATTTATTTATATGATTACTGGCTAAATGAAATGTAGATTTAAATGTACCAAAGCCTTTCGAACCATGAGCATATATATTAAAAAAAAAACGAAACAGACTAAATATGACTGTTAACCAACCCGGAATAACAGTTTTCCAAATATGCGCAGTGCGGTCACCACTAGCTGTAGCAAGCATGATTTCAGGAGAATCTATTGTTGATGGTCCGAAAGCAACACCATTAACCGAACCAACGTGACCCGTGTATTGCGCCAAACATGAACCTCCATCCAAGGACCATAGCAAGCATGTCTGATCTATTAAACAAATGTAATATATTGATTTGAATGAAGTAGAATTAAATTCTACATGTTTGATAGGACTGATTTAATATTTTCAACCCTCAATGTTTTTTTAAAACAATGTTTAATAACAGTGATGCATCATTATTAGTATAATAATTCATTTACTAGTTCAGAAAATCGAACGAAAACTGATGGGAATTAGAAATTTTTAATAAAGCCAAACAAAGCACCTGCGGAGGCGCTTGCCAAGATCGGCTGTGTTCCATGACTTGCCGTCACATGCCAAATACCATCCCGATGTCCCATAAACGAACGAATATATCTACATCTACGTGAACTATCACTGACAACTTTTAGGCTTTGTACCAGACGTCCCGGTGGTACTCTCAAAGCAGTCTTTAGCTTTTGGCGCATTTGATTGCCTACAATACATAAAAATCCTATGGATTATAACAACCAGTTGAATTTCATGTAGCACTTTTAAAAATTAGAAATTTTAATCCTACTCATTTTTATATCATCTATTTATAACTGGCTTGCAGTTATCTAAACCAATTGACTGCGTTGACGGCGCTTTCAGTCAAAAAGCGTGGTTTTATGCATATATAAAAATGGAAATATATGTAAGATTAAACAGCCATCGTCATTTCTGAAAGGAAGTCAATAATAAATAAAGCGACCTTTCCTGCCGACTTCTTTTCGTGCTAACAGTGGATCATTTGGAGAACAGACTTCAGAAGACAGCGTTACTGTTTCGCCCAATCGTTCACTTAATTGGTTCAACTTTGCCTGCACTACAGATAATTGCATTATTAACATTTATTTTCCGCACAGTTCAATTTTTTTCTGAATTGATAATTTATGCATTACTTTATAGGTAGAGTTTCATTTTTTAGATCTGAATTAAGTATAAACTATCTTTAAATTTTTTTTTCTCACACTTGAAATATTTGCTTATTATCATGATATCAAAAAAAATTTTCTCCAACTTGAGTCTTATGAAGCTACTCAATAACAGTTAGCAAGCTGAAAACATTAAAAGTGAAATTAGTTGGTATTTTAGTGAACGAAGATGTATATCAAATTGAGCACTTTGAATTTACCAATTATCATCAGCTATAGCAATCAGCTTAGTTTTACAGAAGAAAAAGATATATAACGACATAGTTACGTTAACATTAAAAGGACGCAACTTGTAGAATAACCAAACAGTTTTAGTAGTTATCATAATCTAATCTTAATTTAGCGTACTTTTTTTAAAATTATTTTTTATTAAATCCTAAGATATTGGAAAGTAATTTCTTATTTTCTATTTGGTATTATTACTTTTTTAAAGAGGAACAAATAATGAATATAAATAATGAATTAATCTAAAATAATAAAATGCTTACATTCGCAATTCTCCTCGTACAAAGAGTCAATTTCTTTCTCAATGTATTCGAAGAGTTGGTATAACCGCGCCCTGAAATATTTATTCTTATCAAACAAGAGAAAACCCATACAAAAAACAGATGTAGAACTGAAACAATTACCAATAAGATATTGATCACTCTCAATATTCTCGAAAAACACACCAATGCTAATTCATCCTTTCATTTTTTAACTAATTCCTATAAATATATCACGAAAAAATGATTGAGTTATTAAGGAACATATAATTCGTTGATGCATATAATATTTCCATTTTTATCTGACATTTTTAAAAAATATTATACGTCCGAAAATAATATATTTTGGAATAATTTTAATCAAATTGAAGTGCAACAGCGATAAATTAAAATTCCAATTTAAATTAAAAATATTAGGCATTTAATTTCAAATAATTCGAATTTTAGTTAAATGTGAAATAATTCGTTTCGATTATTTAATTTTCGCCACATATAAGATAATTATTTTCGAGCTATCTCAATTATTATTTACAGAAATTTTAATGAAAAATCTGTTTAAAAACTTTAAAGCAAAATTTTTCCTTCAACTTAACCATAAGATAAATTGAATATCATACTTATGTGGTAATGCTATTTGTTCCATATCGCAATATTGCTGTTGCTGTTGACAACCTGAAGATCCTTGCTGAACATCACCATCCACTCTCACACGAAGTTTCTCAAATCTTCCAGACATGTTACTAAACTAACAAACAAAAATTAATAAAATTTTTATGAAAGCCCGTTTGCTTCTGTTTGTCTCTCTCACACTGCCTATCGGTATATATAATTCGATATTTAACGCAGAAATTTAATTACAAGGAGAGAAAAATAATGTGACACTTTTGAAGTGCGTCACAGAACGATAAAAGAATTATCGGTAAACGAAAACTATATGGCCAACGGGGAGGAAATAATGGAAGGAAAACAAGAAAAACTAATCAACATGACTGTACATAAAACATGGAACAATAAAAAGCTTACACAACAGAACAACTTTTTTGGTTAATCTTATAGAACATGAATGAATAGGAAATAATGTTTCGTTAAGGTCCCTTCGCATTACCGCGTTATATGCGTGAAATGAGCAAGATTGAAGTATTGAACGAGAGGGAGGGGGGTAGTCACGTTGGGGCTAGGCTTGCTTTGTTTGTTATTTTTCTATTATTTTTTATTATAATAATTATTTATGTATATTACATAAACAGAGAGAGCTGCTTTGATGCCTACTGAAAGCAAATATTGCAATAAAATTGAATCGAAATGTATCAAAGAATTCCATAATAGCAATACATGAAAGTAAAACGTATGCTTTCAGGGATTACAAATGATAAAATACATGTGCTAGCTATTCTGTGAAGAGGAAAACGGTCAGGTTTATTACGGTGAAATGATCCGTTCGAAATTATTATCACGTTACAGTACTTTAGCTGTACGTGCCTTGGTAACGGCCAGTGTGGCTGAGCATTGTTTCACGTCTGGTCGTTGTTTCCATAATCATTATGCTACTGATGTACCTACTGCCTCTGTCCATCATCATCAAAATGTGAAAGACGTACATGCTTCATGTTGTGGTTTTCCAAAGCATCTCAAAAATGGACCCTCAACGGTACTCGATCAAGGTGTCTTCGGTGATGATGCATGCTTTATTGCACATTTCGAAAATACGTATGTGGTTGGTATGTGATTGTCTCCTTGTATTCTTCATTTTCTTATAATCAGAAAGAAAATTGCACAGAGTGCACACAACATCACAAATTCATATGAATCGTGAAAGGCACTGAATGAGAATTTATATGCAATAGGGTTAAATTTTAAACCTAGAAAGTCAAAATCATTTTACATTCGTTACCAATTATTTGCTAGTGATTTCCAATAAAATCTGACCCAACCTAACTACATGATTAATTGAAGCAAGTGGTTTGGCAATTAACAGGTGGTTGAACAATTTCTTTCATAATACAAGATTGTATTCGGTGTATTATTTTATTATCAGCAGGGAAATTATTGAGCTGAAATAGTGTTAATATGTAGTACGGGTAGGTATGTTCGGATGTTAGAAGTATAGTTTTAGATTTGCAACGAATTGATAATTTAGAGAGAAATATAACATTGCTTTAAAGGTGTGGCAGATGGCGTAGGTGGTTGGCGCAATTATGGCATCGATCCGTCTGAATTTTCGAGTCGTTTGATGAAGCTCTGTCGGAAAATTGTAATGAAAGGTAATATCTTATTAAAAAATTTTTCTGAATATTTCCTGTAATTTCAATATGACTTCACAGATGCATACTATATTTAAGAATGAAACATGCAATTTTCTTAATCATTTTTTGATTTCAGGTCAGTTCAAGCCAACTCGACCGGACAAGCTACTAGCTAGTGCATACGAAGCACTTGCGAGGCCGCCACATCCCACTGGGTCATCCACAGCTTGTGTACTTATTGTTCATCAAGATACATTATATTCTGCTAATCTCGGTGATTCTGGCTATCTTGTTATCCGGAATGGCAAGGTAGTATATCGTAGTCGCGAACAGACTCACTATTTCAATGCCCCTTATCAACTCTCATTACCTCCAATGGATGAAGGTGCAGTTTACCGTAATGGTTGCTTTAGTTAAATTTATTTCATTTCAGTTTTTTTGTACAGTTCTGAGCGATGTTTTATGAAATCCAAAGTAATATCTTTATGAATTTATTCTAGGGTAATTGTATAAGTCTTGGTAATTCATGATATTTTTCCAAATATTCTGCAGGAAATGGTAGTTTTCTGGGTGATTCTCCGGAGAAAGCTGAATCGGTATCATTGGATTTGATGAGCGGTGATATTATTGTGCTTGCAACCGATGGTTTGTGGGATAATGTGACGGAAAATGAAATTGTTAGGCAGTTATCAGGTCTGAAACCAGGCGATGTGCAAGTACGTTTGGTTTTTAATGTATTCTTAACTACAAAATTCGTGCTTCATTGCTTCAAATGGGTAAATAATATCTTAGAGTAAAAGATGTAAGGAAAATTCGGTAAGATGAAGAGAACGAATGAGAGTGGAAGCAAAGGATCGATGGGGATGGATAAAAATTCAAATCAAGGTTTTGTACTATTAGCAGCCTTTGAAAACGTATAAAAAAAGTTGCAATGGAAATCTCAAGTTGAATTACAACTGTACTGAAGATGCTAGATCCTTACTGGTACTTTTTGAGAGGTAGTGTTAAACGTCCTAAAATGCACTTTATAAGCTTCGGCTGGGTGTGCTGCTGTTGTGCCATAAATGTGATTTTAAATTTCCTCATCTTGAATCAATTTTTTTAGAAAGCTTGCAATAGTCTTGCACTTACTGCAAGGAGATTAGCATTCGATACACAGCATTTGTCCCCGTTTGCAGTAAAGGCATTGCAGCATGGAATCGACGCACCGGGGGGCAAACCGGATGACATAACACTTATCTTGTTATTGATTGCTTGATTCGTTGTGCGAAATATTAAAATGCTGCGATTTGTTATTATGCTCATCTCATGTAACGAAATAAGCTCATTGATTTTATTTTTCAATAGGCTATGCGTTAATAACTGTGTTAAACGTAGTGATGGATTGATGAATTAAAAATATTTTCATTTAGCAAATATCTTGTAGATCGTAGTTCCGCAGTGATGTAACGTGTATGCCATTATCTCTCGTGACCCTTACGGCTGTATACAACAAACCGTTCCAGTTAATTGACTCGCTTTTATATCAGGGAAATTTGCATTAATCTGCATTGAAATCCTTTCAGTTTTTGATATTTAGGCTCACTAACTTTCAACTTTTATTTCAAGTTTTTTTGAAAACTTTTTTTGTTTGAATGTTAGGTTAATCTCTCGTGTTTGCGTGTATGATGCTGGCGATCTTTTTTTTAACTTTTGAAACCTCAAGTTAATTAGTTGTGCTCTGTTACCATATGATTAGCAAGCAGCGTTAGGGACGACATTGCTTCGTTTGAATCATTAAATTTCATCAGGATAACTTCTAATAAAAAAATGACGGCACATCAGAAACATTATAGATGCAATCTTCTTTTACGACCCAGAGTTCTCTACAACTTTCAGGATAAGTTTGCATTCATCTTCAGCACGTTTAATTCGATCTCGCAGCAACAAATGGAAATATAATTTTCGATTTTATTAAATAATAATTTTTTGCTATTCATTTCAGCTTTCAAGTAAGATTGGCTTTTGTTTCAAAAGGATTCATTTTCGGTGTATCAGCAAGATTTAAGATAGAAATAGTGCGTCTATATTCATTTTTCCCTCTTTTTATTGTGATAACAGTTAACATAGCACCAGAAAATTAACGTTTAAATTCTAATTTTAAGCGACCTGATATTTAGATTTCATGCAATATCAATTGATTTAAAAGCATTGCGTGTATGTTGATCAATTGTTTCTTCTTTTCAACTCGCAACTTTCATTGTTTCTATTGTCTCATGTTTTCGTATATGTCTTATGTTAGTGTGTTTGCAAATGTGAAGAAGATAAAATAGAATAGAACTGTCGATAATTTGGCAAAGAATTATCCTATTAAACGCTAACATAAATAAAAATATTTCCGAAAATAAACTTCGACATTCGTGGTGCTTTACAACATTTTGTTTTATTTTTACAACATTCTTCTACTGCACTAGTGATTTTTTTATTTTAAAGAAGATATTCTTTAGAGTTCTGGTTATGGATGGTATAAAAAGCAACGAGATTTTAGACCGTCTGGATTTCTTTTTCCTTTCGAATGTCATGAAACCTTGAAAGTTTTGCGCGGTGAATTATGGATGTATGAATAGATGCTAACTGAAGATTATACAGGCGTTTTAGATTGCAAAGCCATAGAGTTCTTGAAGTGTCATTAATTATTATAGTCCATTATTAAGTATTTTGTGCACGTGTCGTGCATACGGATCTGCTGTTTTTCCGACTTGTGTCTTGAAAGTGATGTCCCTTTCCAGATATGCGCTTACGGTTTTGCTTGGCTTCTCAGGCTGGAAACATTCTTAATAAATTTCCACTTGCAGCAAGCTATTCACAGATTCGCATGAAATACAGTAAGTAAATGAATGAGTTCTTTTAATAAAACTGTCCACTTCTCAATATTACGATATGAATTTTTTTGGAGAATACAAGTTGTAATACTGACATATTGCTAAAGTTTGAGATTTTATAGCTGCTACTAAGCCAGTTTCACATTTTAGTATCTTCCAATATGCATGACAATCTCGACAAAATAATGTAATGAGAGATTAATTAAAGGATTGATACGGTGTTTTATGTATATTATACAGCTGAAATATGGCAGGAACATAAAATCCTCAATATTTACTAGAAAAGGTTATTTCACGGTAATGAAATTGCAGAATATGTTGGTGAATCAGCTAAGTCTGATGGTACACTATTGGGTGATTTCCGCAAAGCTATGCACTACATGTTCATGACAGAGCTTGTAAGAGGTATACACATGTGTTTCTATATTCACTTATAGTTTAGGTTATTCGTATAAATTTCCGAGTTCAAAATTCTATCGAAGACACAATAAAAGATAGAAGTAAAACAAAACAGAGCACTCTTTTTCTATTCGCTTTAAATCAAGAGATATGTGCGCAGATCATACCTGATCTACATTTAGCAGTTGGATTAAATTTCGGAATCGTATCCTGGTTAAATTGCAGTGTTTTATATTTGCGGTGTTTGTTATGGTTTTAATAATGACTCTCCGTGAAGTTTAATTTTTGATTATTTCACCTTTGCATACTGTACTTTCCAGGTATGGGTATAATTGCTGGTCATTATTTCATGGAGCCTGCAACAATAAATTACCCATTCGAGAAAGGTCCATTGAGCTCACGTTTCCGTGGTGAGCATGCGCTTCGAAGGTATCCATCCGGCGAAGAACGCTGTATAGCCTGCAAGCTATGCGAAGCGATATGTCCTGCACAAGTATAGGCTGCTTCTTAATTATATAAAATTGAGAGTTGTATTTTTTTTATCCCTTTTTTTTAATAGAAATTTTAGAATGGTTTCAGTGGTATTCTGAAAATCATAGCGATAATGCTCTGCAACTTGAATCCTCTTTCAAATGATATGTACACCTATTTTTTCCTTTTGATGCACTATTTGATTTCAATAACGTTTATAATCTGTTATCTATTTTGAGCAGTTTATAAAAATATCTGTATGCGTTTTTGGTCGTTTCAGGCAATAACGATTGAAGCTGAAGCAAGGCCAGATGGAAGTCGGCGAACTACACGTTATGATATCGATATGACAAAGTGTATTTACTGTGGATTATGTCAGGAGGCTTGTCCGGTTGATGCCATTGTTGAGGTTTTCCATTTTTTAAGTTTAAATTCCGTTTTTAGGTGCAATTTTTTTTTGAACCAATTCCAAATGCTGGCTTTAAAAGTGTATATGATAGTCTATACTTAGAGATATATCCTTTCGGTGAGGTTCATCGCGCATGTACCTGTTTAATATATACAGGTGTTCACTTATAACTACATATGTTTCCTGGCTGTGACAAAGTGTAACAATACATAAAGAATTTTCATTGTTCGAAATTGTTTTTCCAGGGTCCGAATTTTGAATATTCAACGGAAACTCATGAGGAGCTGCTGTATAACAAAGAGAAACTTCTGCTAAATGGTGATCGATGGGAGCCGGAATTGGCAGCAAATTTACAAGCCGAATATCTATACCGTTAGATTAAAAGAAGCTTTGGGGGTCGGTTGTTTGATCTAGTGGTTGTACTCTTCTAACTCCATTGAAAAATTAATGTAAAGAACACCGATGATCGATTCATTAAATGAATTATAAAACAAATTCCTGCATTATGATTACAGCATAATTGTCGTTTTGGAACGGTGATTGCACTGTAATTGTTGTGATATAAAAGAAAGAAATCATGTCTATCCACTCACAAGTTTAAAGTTCAGACATGTGGAAGCGTAAGAACAAAACTTCATCATTTAGGAAGTATTTATGCGGTTCTAATTCTCCTTATATACTTATTTTGTAAAGTTATCTAAATACTGTGTTTATCCATTCTTATTTGTAGCTTGTACTTATATCGTTCATGCAGTTTAAGGGATATTACTTATTCCTTGTATATAGTGTAGTATTGATAATAATGATAAAGGTTTTGCATAGAAGTTAATTTTTGATCTTTTTTGATTTATGCAGCTCAAGATTTGATAGATCAGATAATGCAGAATGATTTTTCATTGCCTTACAGCGGAAACTTTTGTATTAATAAACAAAATAATCCAACAATTTTTATAGCATACTTTGAAATGTGTATGGGATGAACCGAAATATGTTCAACATGCATTTATGCTTATTTATGCTTTGTGAGAGATACAATGCGCAAACTCGTTGAGCAATTACATAAACATAATTATATGTTAAACAGTAGACATTGCTTACCAATTAAAATATGCTTTATTTCCCAAATTCGGATTTATAGAAAGGGATTTGAGGTATTTTATTGCCGATATAGTACTCATTAACAAGTTATCGGTGCAATATTAAGTATAAAGCGATTGCTAGGATTTAACCTTTTTTCATCCTCGACTATCTTCCGCAAAAAAATGGATTGTCTGTGTGCTAGTGCTACTGACAGCCGTTGAGCCTTCACCGCTGTAATTTTTTCTTTGGTTTAACAAATTGAATTTAATCCATGATTACTAATGAGATACCACTAAACATAATGTGAGATTAATGATATATATATTCTGGAAATTTCTGAGCTGGAAAGACGTCATCACATTTTTATTATTGAGTTCTCTAATGAGGCAATCATTGTATGTTTTGTCGAATTAAATTTAGTAGTAAAGAGTTGTTGATTTTGTGTTTCATCTTTCTACAACATTTAAAGAAATTTTCATCGAGAAAGAAACCTTGAGGATAAATTAGCAAATACACTTCGACTTGTTGAAATGGAATTTGATCGAGCGGTAGCTAATTCCTGATGCTCATTAACTTCTGTAATCGTAGTTAGCACATCTTGGTACCATTCGGTCTAAATGATAAATTTGTTGTGGCTCATAAAATAATAGTAGTATATTTCTCTGATTGTGCTTTTATCAATAGTTCATAGTACTATAATACAAAGGTTTCTTTTCATAATATCTCGTATTTTTTTCTAAAGTGATCTAAAATTTCAACCTTAAAAATTCTTCACCAACCGGAAAATCTATTCTTGAGAAATTATGAGCAAAATTATATGGCGGTAACCATAGCGTATGACTAAGAAGTTCATTCTGACCGCACATCCATGATGGTTCAAAGATAATATCATCAAGACGGCAAAGATAGACCTATCAAAAAAATGTGATGTATTCATTTTCGGTACAATATATTGCTACCCGACTGTCGTATTGGTTAAATATTAATTGCTTTTAAAATTTCTCAAAGTATCGGTATTTGTTTTCTCAAGTAGAATAGGAGAAATGAAAAGATGTGCTTTCAAAGATAGATAATAATATGGCAATAATTACCTTATATGGTAATTCCTCAAAATCTTTTGACCATGTTATTTGATCCAATTCAGTGGTACGAAATAATACCATTTCTTCCAATGTTTTTGGCATAGTATTCAAGAAATTAACAATATTTGATGCGCTATAGTAGTGCACATAAACGGAGATCTTTTTCAAATTTAATGTTTTCAAAATGTTCATTTTTTGTGGTAAGGTACGATGACAACATGAGAAGAGTGATGGTGGGATATCGAGTATTTTCAATCGAGTTAATTTTCCTAAAATAATCATTATCATTATATCACTATTAGACTATCGTGTGTTATACTTTGTAAGAGAGATATGTAATATTACAAAATAGATCGATCGTACAAGTCTTAAAACTTTTATTGAATTTTACAACCATTAATTTATATCATTTTGTATTTTTTTGAATTGAATTTATTTGTAGGAAATCGATGAAATTTCGAAGAGATAAAATAAAAATTCTATCAATGATATTTTTATTATTATCTTTCTAATAATTTATATTTGTAGAAAAGTTTTTTTCTAAAAAAAAGGAGCAAAGCAATATTTTGTTAATGCATTGGAATATTTCAGATTTTTAATTATTACACCTTAAATAATTATGAATAAATAAAATTATGAACATACCAATTGCTAAGATATAATGATCAAAATCAGGCGGATTACACAAAACACCGGATATAAGCAATTCAGTGAGAGTTTCTTTCAGGGCATCACATAATTTACTGAATATATCCGGTTTCAGTACAATACCGCTGAGTTGTATGGATACCAATGGTGCCATAATAATTTGCGTCAATTGACTTTGACGTAATATATTTCGTACCGTCTTCAATTCATCATAACGTTGCAATATGTGTAATTTACGTAATTTCTTCGTGAATAATGCATTAAGGCATGATAAACTCAATGAGCTGAAAAATTAAAAATCATTCAGTTATTATTCACAAATCAAACGTGCTCTTCTTTTCTATTAAAATACATAACAAGTCAGTCATACGTGTTTTACAGGTGTATATTACAGGTGGTACGCACGTTTATTATCTTGAAAATGCAGCACCAATATTCATACTTTTCATTATTATTATCAAAAATTTTAAAAGAATCGTCGAGAGCATCTAAAGTATTCAAAGCATCTAAAGTATTCTTCACAGGTGATATCATAAGAACTAAAGTTGTCATCTAATTTGTTATCATTTTCATATAACAAGGAGAAAAAGAAGGAAATATTCATTCATATTACTTAACTTACTTAAACACGGAACTTGCTACAGTAAGAACGTTAAGATGTTCAATTTTAGATAACTGTCGTAGATAATTCTCATCTTGTATCGTTTGAATGATGACATTATTCAAATTTGGGCAATGTTGAAGAATTGACTGTAAATTACAATCTTTTGATTTCTAATTAATGAATATGCCATATTAGTAGTGCGGTAATTTTTTCAACTTCTAAGAGAAAAAATATTTCCAATAAAGTACTTCTTGTTCAAAAAAAAATGAAATGTCTTTTTTGATATTTCTTGAATATTCATTAAGATGTTGATAAGTGATAATTACATGCCTTCAGATCACATTTTGTAGCACATTTGAAAATTTCACCAGCAATGCACAAAGTATCTTCCTTGATGGAAAGTATTGTAACGTCAAGCCATGTAGAAAACAATGAATCTGACATAATACTTCCAAGAATTTAAAACTAAATCGCTTCTTAGTTATCATTTGAATGATAAGATCAATTATCACATTGGTTACAGCACCTGTTAGACATTCATAGAAAAGATCTAGTTTTTTTTAGAAAAGATTAATCCTTCATTCGACTACTAATCCAATACTCAATGCCGCTTACTAAACCGTTTATTTACGGAGGCGATATTAGCCCGTGCTTTCACATCCAAATAACTGAAAATGACATTCCAGACATCATCCGATAGATCCATTTAGTCCAACAATAACTAACATTTGCTCCACTCTATATTTTTAAAAGTTGTAGCATCTCATAATTTGCATATCTTAAGTTAGTATGCAAGTTTTTCGCTATTTTATAAAAATTTTCTTAACTATATCAAATCTTTCTAACATAATCTTAGATTGCAAGATGAATTATTTGACAAATTTCCAATTTTCATTACCTGATACGTTCCGAACAAAGCCACAAAATACAAGTACAGTGTATAAATTTAACAAAATCATAAATAGTTTATAAAAATAAGTCCATATAAGATAATAACAATAAGAATTCTGAATATGTACAACCAATTAAAATGCAAAAAAGGAGATTACCAAAAAATCGTCTCACAATGCCTGGACTGTCTCAATGCAGCAAACATAATAATACATAAATGAAATGTATGGCAAAATTCGAAGCCTAAAATATAAAAATTCTCTTCAAATTAATGAAATTTAATACATCCTTCGAACGGATGATCGAATAACGGTTTGTAACTGCACAAAAACTACATGTGCAATCAAAAAACGAAAATCACCGCTAATGAACGGCATAGCTGAAAAGCTAGAAGTCGTCCAATCGCACGATAAAAGGTAGCCACTTGGTTCATCTCTGCGAAGATAGCGAAGTACCATCGTAAAAATGGAGAAATTAGGAGTTATGGAGTTGAAAGAAGCCCGTTCGAAATTTGAACATAATTTAGTGACATAAAGAGCATCGTACTGAAGAATCTGAACGATCAAGTACTTTTTTTGAAAAGCAATGATAATTATAAAAAAATGATCTGAGGGTTAACTAATTCAATAAAATTTGACTATGAAAGAAAATTAGCACGCAAAAACTTTCAAGTGGAAGAATAATTCATTTGAGAACATATAAAAGCATAATAAGAATTATTAAGATAATTCCAACAGGCAGTAGGAGCAAAAAGTCTATCAAGCAAAACAATTTCCACTTTTTGCTGCTGGCAAACAAAGCATATATTTGCTAAATTTTAGGCTAAAAAAGGAACTTTAAGATTCTCCAAAAAGCCTAAGATTCAAAAATAGTTGAATAACTTAACAAGGTAAATGCATAAATTTTTGAAAGTCCGTCAAGTACTCATGAATTTGGCAAATAACGAAGAATATTTGCAATTACTTTCCATATGCTTATTTATTTTTCATCGTATTATTTCCTACATACACAGGATTTTTAAACGTCGTCGTTGCTTGTTTGTAAATCGGATTTTCATTCTGAAATTAACAAACATCTCAGCTCTATCAGTAAAGCTTCAATTTTTTTCCTTCTAACTTCCCCAACTTATCTGGCATTCAAGGATGCCTTAAAAATGAAAAACAAATGAAAAAAGACTTTCTAATATTCTAAAATGACCATAAAACGACCAGCATAATGAAACATAAAACGAGATAAGCATCACTCCTCTCTTTGTCTATCATGAATTGGAAAAACGACAAAAAAAGCATACAGTATCCCATTTTGCTAGTAATCTTTCGCTATCGAACTTCGCAAATTCGGCACGATCATGAAGAACAGTTAACAATTTCCAAACCAAAAGTAGGATCAATCCTAGTATGACAATACCAGCTATGACACCGAGAACAATGGCAAGAACTGGTACTGGTGGTGGACAATCTAAATAGCTTAAATCAGCTCGCTGAAATGAGACATGGACCAAATTTTAATAATAATGTTCGACACTTACCAATTTGAAATGTCAACTGTCTAAAAGATATCTATAACTGCCGAATCGCATATCATAAACTCAACTTTGAATTTAATGAATAGACCATGCCTAATCAATTACACTAAGAAATAATGAAAGGACTTTTACCTATAATTTTAAACTAGCTAAAAAGGAATCATATATAACAGATGATATACCTTTTTCTTCCTTTACCCATACAGTAAGATTATCTGTTCTTTGATCCTCGTAATAAAGGAAATAGAATGTACAATCATCTGATGGATCCACAAACTGACATTCAGTTGTATCATTTAGTACTGGAATGTTATTGATTATGAATAATTTTTTAAGCATTTGAAATATACTTTTCAATAAAAAAAATTCAAGTATTGACACAATTTCTACAATATCTCAACGCTTATTATATTATAACTGGATTTTTATGCCTACAATAGATGGATCTTGTCTGATAAAATGATAACCTGGTAATTCGTTAACAGGTATGACGGTAAAAATACAATCATCACATTGAGTTTTATTATATGGACCAGTTCCCCATTGCTGACACATCACACATGGTTTATGCTCAACACATTTGGATGGACAAGTCTGAAAATTATTAAAATTCGAAGAGCATCATGGATTTAATGAGAAATTAGATAGAAAACGAAAATGTATCCTTTCTTGTACCTAACCTAAAAATACTAGACATAGCAGTTCTGAAATATATAATGATTTTCTGAACCAAATTTGAAAGCTTTTCCCTGCTAACAGTATTGTTCATTTCTTCGCTACACTCTGTAAAGTGGTCCAAATTGGATAATAGGTACATGGATCTCCTGAACCGTCAGGGATACCAGACATTAAACCATTAAACCAGACATTAAACCAGAATACCAGACATTAAACTATAATCTACCCATTATTTGAGCTATCACTAGCATCTACCAGTCACTGTGGAGGATGAATATTAAGTCGTTAAGATGCAAAGAGAAAAGTAACAATTTGTAATTTAATCATGATAAATTCTTTTTTCCCATTAAAACGCGACAACGAATAAATTTCTTAAACTCACAGGACAAATTTCACATTTGGGACCTGAGTAACGATTGCCTGGACCATCACTGAAACAGCGGCAACGTCCGCAAATGCATTCCCCTTGTCCGTTGCATACTTTACCATTCGCAGCCATACAACTTTCCAAGCTTAACGGGCATTCACATGCTCGGCCTGCAGCAATACTAGAGGAATGAATGTAAATTAATCTATTTCGAGCAGTTAAACCACAGTAGTTAGCTAAAAATTCCCTGTAAAAAACAATCAACATTCTGCAGTTTAACTATTGGCGCAAAAGAATTTCAGGGAATAAAAATCACCTGTCCAACCAGGCTTGCATGTGCATTGCCCACAGTCGCACGTACCATGTCCAGCACAGATTTTACGATCATGCCGTGGGCAGTTAAAATTATCACATTCACAAAACTGGCCCGAAATTTTCTCATTCATATTCTGAAATTAAAGGTTATTATGAAATGCCAATATTTTTCTTCAGTTTTGAATTTTATGTCTGCAATTTGATAATGGCAGCACAGTAAATGGTTTTCGGTCAAGATGGATAGCAAAAAATTAATGCAGTGGAGAGCGTGAAAATCCAACATTCAAAAATGAAGAAAAATGGAAATATTAAAGATAATCCGAAGCAGACAATGCTTTATGCTCAGTGAATAAATGAGCATGTTCCAGTACAATATATGAATAACATCTCATAATAAAATTGTTTTTTTCATTCAAACTAAGAAACAAAGAAGTGAACGTACGTCACGTTCAAAACATTCACAAACACCACAGTTACAAACTCCTCGACCTTCACAAATAGCACTTTCATTTGTCCTGAAAAGATATGTAAGGATTAATTTCTCAAAAGATCAAAAGATGACAGAACCACATGTGATACTGCACTTGTAGTTTTTGAGTATATAAAAACTTCCTATGTACTTCAAAAATTTAAATATTTTTGAATAAATTTCTAATTTTTAAAAAGTTGAGATCCAACCAATTCTCTTTTACTTCCTGCAAATTGTGAATAGCATCCGAAAACACACTAATTGTTACCTTTTACACTTCGCATCTAATGCAACAGTTGAAAGACCAGGTGCATCACATTCGCAGTGTCTTCCGACATTTGTTCCATGACATATGCAGACACCACAAACTAAATCGCCTTTCCCATGACATACTGGAGAATTGTGTATAACTCTCTGCAAAATCATTGCATCATTTGGGATTAATTCAGTTATGAGGGATGAGAATATCAGACAGCAACTATTCTTGACAAAGCTATATTATCTATCCATAGTGCAATCACGTTCTTGCAAATCTGAAAATCTGAGTATTTTTTTGCATTTTTCACAAATGTCAGCCAAAATTTAGAAACAATAGAAATTCAAAAATTTCGGAACTAAAAAAATCCTCACATCAGTCTCACAATCGCAGTCACATTGTACATGAACATCAACTTGAAGAGTCTCATCAAGGCCACTTGGTCCGATTTTCAAATTAAAATCACGTTCCTTCACACAATGCGTTGCCTCCAGAGTAATTTCAAAGGAAACTTCATCACCAACTTTGATTCCATCACACACATTTGTTTCCTTGAGAGTGTGCCCACTGGAAATAAGTTAACTTTCACTACTTTTCCTTGCAATTGAAAACAGGAAAAATTACAGTGGGATTAAATAAACTGCTTTTGTTTTTATTACGAGATTTCGGAAAGGCTCTTTTGAACCAAAATTGAAAAGAAATCGAAAGCTAGAAATTTACTCTAAACATCTCGAACGATATGATAATCTTAGCCCTTGGCTTGCATTCGCATTATCAACCATAATGATTTTTTGAGAAATTTTATTATATTCCTCTTCGATAAGAGAAACGATATTTCTAGAATCATCGGCCAGTACACCAACTGAACTGCTCACATCAGGTAACGCATCACTGAGCTTAAATTTTAGTAAATAAGCTGAATGAACAGCCATCAAAAATCAAAAACTGAAAGCAAATAAAACTGAAGAGTACTACAATTGGCAGATGGATATGTGTAACAAATCCGCAGTAGGGAGGTGAACTCACAATAAATACGATGTAATTGAGACTATTTGAAAGATGCCTATATGTCAACACACAGTTTCAGTGAATCCGAAAAACAGGAAGCCGAAATCTTATACATAGCCAGTTGTAAATTAAACAGTGTAACTATTGACTGCTGGGATATATTAAATCACAGATGAATTGAAATTTTTTTTTAAATA